ACTGCATGAGTTCAGATGCATTAATTCATGCACTTAAATTTTAATGTTCTGATTTTATTGAAACACTTGTTCTGTGATAGTTCCTTTACTATTGTGATCAAAAATATTTAATCTCAATTCTGAGGCTGCTCTGTAAATAGTTTAAAAATAAACAATACACATAGCAACTTCTGATCATCCCATATCAATTTCAGACTTAAAATAATATATTGATGTAAACCACACCCACTTCCGGTCAAACCACACCCACTTCCGGGTTATGCCACTTCCATTCCGAGTACAGATACAGATAATTTAGTTGGTTGAACAGATACAGATAGCGGTGTACTCGCTCATCCCTAGTCGTTGTCTTCTATTGTAATCTCCTTTAGTTCTTTTGCCAGTTCTATGCTATTTTTGCGGTGTTGATCTGTGTTTCCTAATAACGGGCTGATGATTTTGCTGATATCTCTTGCCATGTTGTATGTTGGTGTACCTATGCTGTCAACTATTGGTCTAAGTGGAGTGTTTTGTTTGTGTATTTTTGGCGTTCCATATATTCTTGGTGTTATGTTTGCCGTAGGAATCCAGTTTTTGTACATTTGTTTTTGTTATTTTGCCATTTTCTTGTAGTGGTTTCAGTAATTTTTTCATGTTTTTCTTAATGTTTTCTGTTGGGTCTTTTTAAAGTATTTTGTATGCATTTTTGTCTTCTAACATCTGTTTCATCTGTTGTTTATATTTTTCTCTGTCCACAACTACTGTAGTTCTTCCTTTATCTGCCGGTAGAATAATTATCTGTTTAGTTTTGGATAAAGCTGTCATCATGTCTGATTGTTCTTCTTTTGTAACATTGCTGTGTTGAATTTAGCTGTTCTTTAATATCCCAACTATGTTATTTCTGAGTTCTGCTTTCTTTCCCTCATCTGTGATCTGTTGACATGCTAGTTCTGTTGCTACAATAAATTCATCATTTGGTATTTTCTTTGGTGTGACTGCAAAGTTTAAACATTTTTTAATATGCATTCTTCTGCTTCTGTTAGTTCGTATTGTGAAATGTTGCATACCCATGAGCTTTGTGTGGAGTTATCTTGTATTTCTTTTCTCTTTTTCTTGTTGATGAGTTTGTTTAAGTTCTTCATGTGTCTTTCTCTTACTTTTATGAACTCTTTTTTTCCTGTTTTTCCATCATGTGTCCTTTAATTAGTTCCTCCGTTTTTTATCAAGTTTGTAATTCTTTTTTAAGTCCAGGTGTCTTCTTTCCAGTTCGTCTTCTATTTGCTTCGATTTGGTTGTGATGTTTCTTATCCTTTCCTTGAGTAGTGCTCTCTGTGCTCTTTTCATTATGTTTTGTGCTGTCTTGGTCCGGACCGGTGTTTTCAGCGCATGGGACTGCATCGTCGGAGAGGGGAGAGCGGGCAGCAGAGGACGTTGTCGCCCTCTGCTGCCCGCTCTCCCCTCTCCGATGATGCAGTCCCATGCACGATCCAATGAGTAAACTCCATCATCCCTGTTCATGGTCCCACATCCACGTCTCCTTATATTGGCCAGTCACATAGAGCGCCCGCCCCTCCCTACACACAAAACTCTCTAGCCGGCCAGGAGCTCAGTCCGTCCGGCTCATCCACACACACACACAGATAGTAACGGATCTCGCTGTGATTGCTTCACTGTTGCTCACGTTTCTTCAGTTTTCCCTAGGTTTTCTTCAGCTCGCCTCTTTTTCGGTTGAATATTTAAAGTTACTTTTTTCGTAACTTACATGGGGCATTTGACAAGACAGAGCTGACGTGCTGCATCAGTCACTCACTACCTCCACTCCGGTCGGGGTTTTTATTTATTTTTTTTAACTCCATCTCTCACCCTCTCACCCTCTCTCTCTCTCTCTCTCTCTCTCTCTCTCTCTCTCTCTCTCTCTCTCTCTCTCTCTCTCTCTCTCTCACACTCACACCTTAATCGACATTGTTTTGTTTAACTTTGTGTGGGGCAAAATGCCAAGAACGTTAAGAAAAAAATCTGTTTATTCAAATTAAAATAAAAAACATATAAAATTGTGTCTGGTTCTAGTATTTCATATTTCCTAGTTCCTACTGCATGAGTTCAGATGCATTAATTCATGCACTTAAATTTTAATGTTCTGATTTTATTGAAACACTTGTTCTGTGATAGTTCCTTTACTATTGTGATCAAAAATATTTAATCTCAATTCTGAGGCTGCTCTGTAAATAGTTTAAAAATAAACAATACATATAGCAACTTCTGATCATCCCATATCAATTTCAGACTTAAAATAATATATTGATGTGAAACCACACCCACTTCCGGTCAAACCACACCCACTTCCGGGTTATGCCACTTCCATTCCGAGTACAGATACAGATAATTTAGTTGGTTGAACAGATACAGATAGCGGTGTACTCGCTCATCCCTAGTCGTTGTCTTCTATTGTAATCTCCTTTAGTTCTTTTGCCAGTTCTATGCTATTTTTGCGGTGTTGATCTGTGTTTCCTAATAACGGGCTGATGATTTTGCTGATATCTCTTGCCATGTTGTATGTTGGTGTACCTATGCTGTCAACTATTGGTCTAAGTGGAGTGTTTTGTTTGTGTATTTTTGGCGTTCCATATATTCTTGGTGTTATGTTTGCCGTAGGAATGCAGTTTTTGTACATTTGTTTTTGTTATTTTGCCATTTTCTTGTAGTGGTTTCAGTAATTTTTTCATGTTTTTCTTAATGTTTTCTGTTGGGTCTTTTTAAAGTATTTTGTATGCATTTTTGTCTTCTAACATCTGTTTCATCTGTTGTTTATATTTTTCTCTGTCCACAACTACTGTAGTTCTTCCTTTGTCTGCCGGTAGAATAATTATCTGTTTAGTTTTGGATAAAGCTGTCATGTCTGATTGTTCTTCTTTTGTAACATTGCTGTGTTGAATTTAGCTGTTCTTTAATATCCCAACTATGTTATTTCTGAGTTCTGCTTTCTTTCCCTCATCTGTGATCTGTTGACATGCTAGTTCTGTTGCTACAATAAATTCATCATTTGGTATTTTCTTTGGTGTTACTGCAAAGTTTAAACATTTTTTAATATGCATTCTTCTGCTTCTGTTAGTTCGTATTGTGAAATGTTGCATACCCATGAGCTTTGTGTGGAGTTATCTTGTATTTCTTTTCTATTTTTCTTGTTGATGAGTTTGTTTAAGTTCTTCATGTGTCTTTCTCTTACTTTTATGAACTCTTTTTTTCCTGTTTTTCCATCATGTGTCCTTTAATTAGTTCCTCCGTTTTTTATCAAGTTTGTAATTCTTTTTTAAGTCCAGGTGTCTTCTTTCCAGTTCGTCTTCTATTTGCTTCGATTTGGTTGTGATGTTTCTTATCCTTTCCTTGAGTAGTGCTCTCTGTGCTCTTTTCATTATGTTTTGTGCTGTCTTGGTCCGGACCGGTGTTTTCAGCGCATGGGACTGCATCGTCGGAGAGGGGAGAGCGGGCAGCAGAGGGAGACAACTTCCTCTGCTGCCCGCGGATAAACGGAGAAGGAAGTGACGCCACCATCAGCGTCAGCCTGACGAAGTTTGCAGCCGCAAACGAAACGTTGCAGGTAAATAAAACCTTTCTGTGTTTTAAAAAGAACTAAAAGATGGAATTCATGATTTTATTACACCTAAAGGGAAGAGCAAAAACATTCACCCCCCTTCAGAGTTGTCATGAGTGTAAACTAGATCTCTTAAACCTAAAATGGTTTTGTGAACAAGGTAACTTGTTTATTTCTGCTGTGAAGTTGGCATTTTTTAACAGGGGAGTCAATGGGAACTTGCTCCTTTCTGGTGCCAGCCCCTAGTGGATGAGAGGGGAACTGCTATGTTGTCACGTGTGTTGGGATCATAGGTGGATCAGTGAGGTAAACTTGTCAATAACCCAACACCATAAGAATTAAAATAAGGAAGAAAACTAGAATAACAAACAAAAAATAGTTAATAAAGAGGGTGCATGTTAACCCTTTAACTGTCAGGTCAACCGTTACATTTCAGTTCCTGTTTCTTATGATAGCCTGTTCTAAAAAAAAACACTTGAAACAATCTAACAATATGAGGGTGTTTCGAGGAAAGAATAAATATTTGTTTATTTGTATTAAAACTCTATATCACTTTGTAATATATTGTCCCTGATCGCTCCAAACAAATTTAAAAGATTCAAAACGTAACAATTTTAATGCATTTTTATTTGTGTGAAACTTACATTAAAACAAAAGAATGGTTTAGAAACAAACGCTCTCAAATGAATCTGGTGGTGACTTTCTCCCAGAGGGACTGACCCAGACATCACTTCCCGTGAAACTTGTTTTCTTACACTTTCCATCAGTCTCTTCTTCTCTGTGTTTTTAATTCAGTCAGGGTTTCTCAGTCTAATGAGATTACACGGGATTATAAAATCCCAGCCTGTCTGTAATCCACACCGCTCAATCCCATTTCACTGTTTAAACACACTCTACTAATTCCCTTTGATGCTAAACCGTGATCTTTTATTCTTCTGCAGACTTTTATGTTCTTAATCCTCCTCTTCTCTAAATAATCATCACGTCATCCTTTTGTTTCTCTTTTCTTTTTCATCCAAACTCACTTTTACTTTCATGCTCCAGCATCGTTTCTCCAAACCTGAAACGTCTCCTCAACAGAGGTCACTGGTGCGTTCGTTCCTCCGCCACAGCTCGCACATGAGCAGCAACTGGACAAAGCGCGCGCACGCACGCACCATTTGTGTGGATGAAACGCAAAATGAGGAGAACAAATAAAAACATCCCGCTGGGGAGAGAGAGAGAAGCAGCTCGTGAGAAAGTTTATAAAAGCGACAGATCTGACACACACACACACACACACACACACACACACACACACACACACACACACACACACGGAGCTTATCCCACCAATCAGAGCCCCACGCCTGCTCTGATTGGCTGACAGATCTGTCAGTCAACGCGGGGGGTGGGGGTGGGGGCGTGGCCATGCTGAAGGCTGACCCGGAGTCTGATCCAGGCGGTTTTACGCACAGACCGGACAGTCCACGCACGGATTCTCAGAGTGCGAGTTTCTCCTGGATGGAAAGAGGGAAGAGTTTAGGAGAAGAGGAGGAACAGTCCGAAGGAATTAAAGAAGAGGAGAAAGTGAGGGAAAAGTCCGAAAACAGACGCACACGTGTTTTCTAACTGAAGACAACAGGAGGAGAGAGAGTACGCGCGTCTCTCCACTTCTCCCACCATCACCTCCTCCATGTCGCTCCCGGGCTCCCCTCCGCTCCTGTCCCCGGGCTCGGGCGCCCCAACTCCCGTCGGGCTGTACCGTTCCGCCCCGGAGGGGCTCCACACCTCCACCGGCACCTCCAGCCCGGTGCACACCAACTCTCACCCGCACTCCCTGTCCCCTTCTCCGCGGCTCACCAGCAGCATGCTCAGCGCCTTCCTGCCTGGACCCGGCGGAACCCTGTCCGGTCTGGGGAACGGTGGCGGAGCCCTGGGCTCCCTCGGCGGGCTCGGCTCTCTGAACGCGGCCGGCCTGACTCCCCCCTCCCCCGGCTTGGTGCAGACACCGTCCAGCCCGGGTCTGTGCAGCGAGTGCAAGCTGGTGGAGGTGCACGGCGTCAAGGTGGCCAGCTTCAGCGTGGACGGCCAGGAGCTGATCTGCCTTCCGCAGGTGTTCGACCTCTTCCTGAAGCACCTGGTGGGCGGGCTGCACACCGTGTACACCAAGCTGAAGAGGCTGGACATCACGCCGGTGGTGTGCACCGTGGAGCAGGTGCGCGTCCTGCGGGGGCTCGGCGCCATCCAGCCCGGCGTGAACCGCTGCAAACTCATCTCCAGGAAGGACTTCGAGATCCTCTACCAGGACTGCACCAGCGCCAGGTCGGTCAGCGCATAGTCCCTCATAGAGTCCAGCTGCGACACACACACACACACACACACACACACACACACACACACACACACACACACACACACACACACACACACACACACACACACACACACACACACACACACACACACAACTTCATCCAAGGCTAGAAAGTGGTTCTGGCTCCGGCTGCCTCAAAGTTAGATGCTGGGAAATGTTTAGCAGGAATGTTCTTTAAAAGGTTTTCCGCACTGATCCTCACAGCAGATGATCAGGTTAGGCCTGTAGGCCTCAGTGTGGCACAAACTCATGGTAATAATCATGTTTTAGGTTTCTGAGGCCAAAACAGCAGCTGGTCTGTTTAAGACTGCAAGAGTTTGATGATTATTATGTTACTTGTGTCAATGTGGAGAAAACTGTGTGTGTGTGTGTGTGTGTGTGTGTGTTCATGTGTGAAAAATGTGTAAGAGATGGCACACTGATGTGTGTTGTTGTGTAAACACATTACAGAGCTCTATTTGTAGTGTGTTGTGTATAATGGTGTGCGCGCGTGCGTGTGTGTGTGTGTGTGTGTGTGTGTGTTGAAGTTGCTGCTTCAGCTTTTCTGAATGAAATCATGACCGTTTGTCTTTATGCTGTATTTTCTTGATTTTGCAGCGTTCCCACGAATGCAAACCCATCCTGTTTTAGAAATTTAACAAAAAAAAAAACCAACTTGAAGCCAAAAAGTTGAACTTGTAATGAAATTAAACTGAGAAAACTGCTTTTGATTGTGTTTTTCAGCCATAAGATGAGAACGGATCTGCTTAAACAGATCTGGGTGTGCCAAAAAATAACAAAAAATGAAACAGATTCCTGTTCAAAAGCAGCAAAAACGAGCTAAAGTCTTTGAAACTAATCAAATGTCCTTTCCCCCCTAAATTACATCTTTATTTGTCAGCTGTGAAAAGCAAAACTAATTAGTCTGAGATTTTTTTGGCAACAGGAAGCACAGGAATAGCATTTGGACCATGCAGAGGACTGGGTTTGCGTGATGGCGTTAACAGAACTGATAACAGGCTTTATTTTTACATCAGCGCAGGTTATTTCAGTCAGAAACCCGCCATCAGATGGAAACCTGCCAGCCTGGGCTGCTTGCTCCGAACTTGTTTCTGACTTTCAGATGGAAAGTGGAAAGATATTTATTTCTTATTTGAAAAAGTGTTTTATATCCCAGTTAGTTTGAGAGAAATTAGAAAAGTCTCATGGAGTTTTTCTGAGAAGTGGGAACTATGATGACCTACAGCCCAGTTCTTAACCCTCAGGCAGCTCTGTTATATCGTGGTGGTGGGGGGGTCATAATGATGATCCTTTTGGACAGTATTAAAATAACAATCATGAAACTGCGTAATTTGCCAAAACATTGGCCAGAATGGAAGGAGATGGCTAGCACCGGTGGCAGACTTTTGTTCTTCAGTGGTGATCAACACGAATAAATAGGTGTTTAAGAAAATATTGATACAATGAAATATCGCAATATCTGGTGTTACTGAATTGTTATTGTTTTGATTTTTGTGTTGAACATTTACATACTAATATTTACTATATGTCTTTTTATTTTGCAATTCAAAATCCAACAGCTATGTGGCAGCGGTCTTTACCACCGTATTTCAACGGAACAATGAGATCTCGCAATAACAACGGATTGATTGGTGAAGTGTCTGGCCTGATGTTTCCAGTGAAATTCTGCCTTAAATTGGCCAAAAGTAGCTGGCTTTGAATATCTCACTATATTGCAGAATTTTCTGTCCTCTACTCTGATATAGCATTGTCAGATTCGATGTAATACACAGCCCTATTTATAAGAGTATAATTTTTGATGGTCCAAATACTTACTTCTATACTATTTAAATGTTTAGCTAATACAAATTTTGTAGCATTCTTGCTAATGTAAAACACATTTATGTAAATAAACATCTAACACGGACAGTTGGTGCTACTGAAAAGCTGAGAAAAATTCTGCGGAAGCCCAGATGTCCAAATGAAGTCAGTGCTTGAAAATAAAACAATTTGGGGGAAAATATGTGCCACAGAACATGTGGAGGTCATTGCTAACAATAATTTAGGCTTTTTTATGTACACGTCATTTATCACCAGTGTGTTTTGCCCTCATTCCGCCATGTGTAAGGTTAACCTTCGATTTTAGTGTGTGTCATTAGTTTAATGTAAGAAAAATCCAGGAATTTGATTAACGGAACACAACTTTTTTAAACATCTTCTTTTTTTAACACAGCTAAAAAGTTGTTTTTACCTCGTTTTGGTTCAGTCTAAGGCTGGGTGATGTATAGATATTTTTTAAAATGTTGGTATAATTTTTAAACAAGATATAAGATGACTTTTTATTTTTCTATAGATATAACTGGTCAAACTGCTTTGCTGGCGATTAGCCGCTATATTAGCGACATGTTGCTCCATCTCTAAGCGGTTATTACGTGTATTCTCACAAGTTAGCTCAATCTGAGAGCCTCTGGGTAAATATGCTGCTCTAAACTTTGCATTTGGCGTCCAGGGGCCTCATTTATAAAGCTTGCTTATGCACAAAACGGGGTCGGAAAACTGCGTAAGCAACTCTCCACGCAAACTTTGGCATTTATGAAAGAAAACTTAGCGGAAAAATGTGCACAATTTTAAGTTGACTAAGAACCTGGCTTACGCACATATTGGACATGCAGTGCTGCTGCTGAGAAGGATACAATTATGAAATCCTGCAGTATTATCACTTGTACTGCTTTGTTGTCACACAGAACAAGATCCCCCACATGCACGCACACACACGCGCACGCACACACACATGCGCGCACACTCACACACATGCGCATGCACGCACACACACACAGCCTTAAGTGCAGAATGCAGAATACCAGCAGGGGGACAGATTGAGACAGAATGTCATGCGTCTGTGACAGTGTGTGTCCTGTCACTGTGACCCGATTGATCATGCACCCTGGCTACTTGTACAGAGGAGTTCTCCGTTTGGCTGACTGGTTAGTGCGCGTGCCTTTCACCCGGGAGTCTGGGGATCGAATCCTGATTGGACCATTTTTTTAATATCCGCCACAGATCTCTCTAAAGAACTCAACATTGACGGCTTCAGCAACGCTGTGCCACTCCGTGGATTTTCTCTTATTTGTTTGGCAAAAGCACTTCCTTTCATTTCTCCACCTCACCCACAAGTACCTCATTTTCTGCTTCTGTGAAATAGCGCTTCCTTGATCTGCCTTGATCTACGGTCGCCATGTCATTGGCGGAGTGCTGCAACAGCCAACTTATGTATATGCATGAGGTCCACAAGGCACTTTGCATTGACTATTTATGGCAGTAAGTGGGCGTGGTGAGGGCGGGATGTGACTAAAAAGCAGCTGAGAACCTTTCTAGATAGTTTCTGATTTATGAAGCGGAGATTGCGTGCAGCTGTGTGTACTCCATGTGTGATGGATCACAAACCTACATTTTTTAGCTTAAGTATGGTTATAGTAAGGATTCTACGCAATGTTTGATAAATGAGACCCCTGGTTTTTAATTATTTGGGGACGTTTAACACCAACAGAGTTCTGTTTATCCATCCTGCTTGTGCGGAGAGACGAGTCAAACCCCTCCCTCCCCTGTGTAATGAGGAAACATCTAGGGAAAGCCGGAGTGGCCAAATGACCTCAAACATATTGGAAGGGGTTGAATAGTAAACTATAGGGTAACTGTTTTATTTTGAAGGCGAGCTCAACGGGTGAGAAATGTTGTTCCGTTTTTTTCCGCTCTGGTTTGCTATGCTAGTAAATACTCCATTACGAGCGATTCTGCTGAAAAAGTTGAGTTTGTAAGGCGTGGGTTATAGCGACAGTAGCCCGAAAATAACACTCATAAAAGAGCAACCAGAGACTCTGAGTTATTACAGTATAATCACTGATATGAGTCAACACTGTTAGATTCCAGCCATGTTTGCCCTAATAACTTAATAACTCTATGTTGCATGACCCATGTGATCTTCAGTAGATGCAATTACATCATCATACAGGTGCTGGCCAGTAAATTAGAATATCATCAAAAGGTTGAAAATATTTCAGTAATTCCATTCAAAACGTGAAACTTGTACATTATATTCATGCAATGCACACAGACCAATGTATTTCCAATGTTTATTACGTTTAATTTTGATATTTATAGGTGACAACCAATGAAAACATCAAATCTGGTATCTCAGAAAATTAGAATATTCTAAAGGCCAATGAAAAAATGTTTGTTTCTCTAATGTTGGCCAACTGAAAAGAATGAACATGAAAAGAATGTGCATGTATAGCACTCAATACTTAGTCGGGGCTCCTTTTGCCTCAATAACTGCAGTAATGCGGCGTGGCATGGACTCGATCAGTCTGTGGCACTGCTCAGGTGTTATGAGAGCCCAGGTTGCTCTGATAGTCGTCTTCAGCTCCTCTGCATTGTTGGGTCTAGCGTATTGCATCCTCCGCTTCACAATACCCCATAGATTTTCTATGGGGTTAAGGTCAGGCGAGTTTGCTGGCCAATCAAGGACAGGGATACCATGGTCCTTGAACCAGGTGCTGGTGGTTTTGGCACTGTGTGCAGGTGCCAAGTCCTGTTGAAAGGTGAAGTCTGCATCCCCATAAAGTTGGTCAGCAGCAGGAAGCATGAAGTGCTCTAAAACTTCCTGGTAGACGGCTGCATTGACCCTGGACCTCAGGAAACAGAGTGGGCCAACACCGGCAGATGACATGGCACCCCACACCATCACTGACGGTGGAAACTTTACACTGGACCTCATGCAACGTGGATTCTGTGCTTCTCCGCTCTTCCTCCAGACTCTGGGTCCTTGATTTCCAAAGGAAATGCAGAACTTGCTTTCATCAGAAAACATAACTTTGGACCACTCAGCATCAGTCCAGTCCTTTTTGTCCTTGGCCCAGGCGAGACGCTTCTTGCGCTGTTTCTTGTTCAAGAGTGGCTTGACACACGGAAT